AAATAATTTGTTTGTGATGGGCCACGTGATATCTGTCTTTGCTAAACCTCGTCGATTAAAAAAAAACAACAACAGTAAAACGATAACTTAAACAAGTCACGTGTTATAGTTTAATTCACCTTGGACAAAGCAATGACGCACCCCCTGCTGAATGCGAGCGCGCTCCCGCGACCGGGGATACACTTTCTATCAGGGGTAAGTATACCTTGGCACGACACCGGCAAACGGTGACAACGGAGAAAAGACAATGGATCAGACAGATGAAGCGCATTCCACACGCCCGAAATTAGTTAATAAAGAGACGAGTAGGAGTGAAATATGGCATTACTTTGCATACAAAAGTAATGATAAAGGTGAAGCAACAGACCTAAATGCACCATGCTGCAAACGCTGTTTTAAATCGTGTATTGCCACGGGCGGCAACACGTCAAATTTGGCCAAGCACTTGTCACTTGCCCATCCCGACTTGTACAAAGACTTCAGAGATCGACAGGTGAGTCCATCATTCAAATTAACTGATTTAATTTAGACTTTTATTCACAACACTGATCGCACATACATAAGAGCTTATCAATTAAATATGATACAGCAAACATGAAAGCTCAAATGTGCCTGCTTACATGATAAAGTAGAACCAATGAAGTTTATTTTTGCACTTTCAAACAATTATATATTGACAGAATTTTTATAAATATATATAGATATATAAAGAGAGTTATAATGATTTTGATCATTTAATGAATGGTATATTACTGTCGCTGTTGCGACCCCTAGAGGAATCAGCCGAGAGAGACAGTAAAATTAATATTACTAAAATTAATGTTAGAATAACACTTTATAATTAAGCTACATTTGTCAACATTCATTAATCTAGATCAATCAGTAATTATTATTTAAGTATACTAATACATGTTTAGCATGTTAACAATTCTTTATGCAATGCATTAAACTAATATGAATCCAAAAACAAACCAAACCATAACTAAATCAAGATGAATGAATGCTATAAATGTTGATAATTCTTTGTTTATGCATGATAGCTAATAGTTTACAATTACATGTAATTTCATTTTTCCTCCTTTTGACACCCACAGAAAGGAACAAAAAAGCACCTTCGGCTTCTGCAAGCCAGCCTACTATTTCAGAAGTGCTAGCAACAACAAGAAAATATGAAAGCCACTCCAAAGAAGCAAAAAAACTTAACAGAGCTGTTGCAGAGTTTATTTCTATGGACCAAATTCCCATTTCTGTTGTTGATAAACCCGGTTTCAGAAACCTTGTGGAACTGCTTGACAGAAGATATGAGATGTCAAGGAGAAAATATTTTTCTGAGAAAGAGATTCCCACTTTGTACAATGAAACAAGGTCTGTGCTTGAATCACAACTGTCCAACCAGCCTTACTTTGCTTGTACTACAGACCTTTGGACGAGTCGAACAGTTGATGCATATATGGCTGTTACAATTCAGTTCATTAGTGACTCTTGGGAAATGCAGTCCTGGTGTCTTGGATGTGCTGCAATGCATTCAGATCACACAGGAGAGAACATCAGGGAGGTCCTTGAAGAAACAGTAACTCAAACATGGAAACTGGATATGACACGCCTAAGTGGAATCACAACGGATAATGCATCCTCAAACATCAAAGCATTTAAGGGGAAGTCTTACCACTGGGTTCCTTGCTTTGGCCATAACCTACATCTGGCAGTGAACAAGGCTACAAGCCTGGACCGTGTGGCTTCGTGTCTGTCTAGGCTCAGAAAGACTATATGTACATTTTCTAGATCTAACAAAATGACAAGGCTTTTAAAAGAAAAGCAACGGCTCCTTCACCTGCCAGACCACAAGCTGGTTCTCGATGAACCTACCCGCTGGGGTTCTACATTTGAAATGGTGGACCGTTTCTGTGAACAGCAACAAGCGATCTGTGCTGCTTTAGCAGAAAACAGGAATAAGTGGTGCCTAATGCCTCCTGACACAGACATCACCACACTGGAGACCGTGCGAGATGTCCTGGGCCCACTAAGTTCCTTCACTGATGCCCTGTGTGGAGAAAGAGAGACAACACTTTCTTCTGTCATCCCTGTGATGTGGAAGATACTTTCACATCTACAGGACAGTGATACAGACTCTGTGCTAACCTGCAACATGAAAACAGAAATCAGGACCGATCTGGAAATGAGATACAGCAATGAGAAGTTACAAATTCTTCTTAATTCAGCAACCTTCTTTGATCCTAGGTTTAAGAACACATTTGTAACTAAGGAGAAGGAAGTGACAGAAGTACTAATGCAAAAAACTGTCACAGCTCTAATCCACAATCAGTGATTGAGTCAACTCAGGAAGAGCAGGAAGAACAAACAGCTGGCAAAAAACAAAAACGAGACTTGGGTAGCCTTCTGTCTTCTATTGTATCAGAGAAAAAAAGAAAAGAGTTGGGAAAGGGAGATGAATGTCAAGCCAGGAGGGAATCTCTAGAGATGCCAAATGACAGACTAAAGAAAGAACTCCAAATGTACAAGTCCATGGAAGAGACCAATGCCACAGACAACCCACTTTCTTGGTGGAAAAGGCATGAATCAAGCCTCCCCCTTCTTTCGATGTTTGCCAAATATTACCTTTGCATTCCAGCATCTAGCTCAGCCTCTGAGAGAGTTTTCAGTACCTCTGGCCTCATCTGTAGCCCACTTAGATCCAGACTATCAAGTGACAATATTGACACTTTAGTTTTCCTGTCCAAAAATCTGCAGCTGTCAAAGGAGCTGTCAAAAAAATAAGACTGAAAAGATGTGAGATTTTTCCAAAATCAAAATTTAACCTATGTTCCCTGTAGGTTTTTTTGTTGTTGTTGTCACATTTTCAATTTTTCTAGTCTGACAAGATATGAAGATATTAGCCTATTTTATTTTTTTCCAAAATCAAAAGTGAACTTACTGTATGTTCCATGACTGTAGGTTTATTTTTTTTATTTATTCATTTTTTTTTTTTTTTTTACATTTTTATACTTTTTGTTTGCACATTTGGTACTGCAGAGAGCAGACAGAGTTTCAAGGAGTGTTTTATTAATAAAATTGTTTCAATTCGCTCAAATTTTGAGGCTGGTTATTTGTCACCTATGGTATCGATTTAGTATCGATACCGAGGTATTCGATTCTGGTATCGTACCGAAGCCAAAATTGTGGTATCGAGCCATCCCTACTCCAGAAGCTCCCACACAGCTCCAGCTGCCTCATAGTGAGCATGGCACAGATATACAGTGCCAGAAATGCATGTCATTTTATGATATGTACATTAAATTAGATGGAGAAAAATGTGCCAGTTTGGAGGAGTTCACTAAAATGCAGAGCACCTCCCACTTGTGGTTTGATGCACGTAAATTAAGAATAACTGCTAGCTCTGCAAAAAAGGTCCCTGTGCGTGCATCTACTAAGCCAGATAATTTTCTTAGAGAGCACCTGTTTCCTAGGTTCCATGGGAACACTGCAACCAGGTATGGCCAGGAGAATGAGGACGTGGTCTACGCATGGATGGAGAGCTGTGGGTTTTTAGTTGAGAAGAGAGGCACTGTAGTTAGTGTCACAGAACCATGGCTTTCTGCAAGCCCAGATGGCGTGGTTAACTCCACAGAGCTGCTGGAGATTAAATGTCCTGTTCTGGCCAAGAACTGTGCATCTTTGGCCGAAGTGTTTTCCAGCAAGCTCACAGATGTGAAGATGGTGGATGGGGTTCCACAGCTGCAACCAAATGGATCCCGTGGTTACTACCTTCAAGTCCAACTAGGTATGTTTTGTACAAGACTAGAGAGATGCAAGCTGCTTGTCTGGGCTCCATCTGAGAAAGTTGTCATTGATGTGCCATTCGATTCGGAGTATTGTTCACAAGTTATACCTAAACTCAAGTCCTTCTATTTTAGTCACATGCTGCCAAGGATTGTAGATGAGTTTCTGTCAGGCAGACTTGTACTGTGCCATAAATATGTACATATGTGTAAATAGGCTCAGGTTCTAGTCTTTAAAGGGATACTCCACTTTTTTTGGAAATAGGCTCATTTTACAACTCCCCCAGAGTTAAACAGTTGAGTTTTACAGGTTTCGAATCCATTCAGCCGATTTTCTGATATTTAGAAGAATATCAGTAACCAGACCGTTTCTGGTCTCATTGACTTCCATAGTATATATACTATGGAAGTCAATTAGATATTCTTCTAAATATCAGAAAATCGGCTGAATACATTTGAAAATGGTAAAATTCGACTGTTTAACTCTGGGGGAGTTGTAAAATGAGCCTATTTCCAAAAAAAAAAAGTGGAGGATCCCTTTAACCTGCTGTATGGACATGCCAGACATTAGCTTTCCTTTGTCTGCGTTAATGTGTTGATACCTAACTGTTAATAATTGTTATGCTGTCCCTTTGTTAGCCTAGTTCCTTGGTGTTTTTCTTGTTATAGCTAGTGTAGTTTGTTTTCTTGTTATAACATGATGATGTTTTACCATTTTAATAGTAATTGAGATTATAATTAATATGTATAATACATGGCCTACAAATTATGCCATAAGTGAAATGTTTAAATGTAGTGTTATTTTACCATTTTAAAAGTGAATACTTGTAAATACATTCAATGTAAAGAAATGAAATGAGTTAATAAATTAGTGAAATACTATAACTTCTTGCCTCCTAGTCTTCTTTTTTAGTTATTTACATAACATACACTCGATCAAAATATGACTAAATAAAACAAATTACATTAGCAATTCAAATTAATAAAGATAGAAAATTTTAATAATACACATTTTAGTTGGACAAGTTAAATATGTTTTTGTATCTGTAATTAATTAAATAATCTAAAAATAAATTGATATTATACAATACCTGAAAAGTCATTACAAAATTGAAAACATTAAGGTGTCACAAACTATTTAGTATAAAACCTGAGATTCAAAACACATCCTACTGTATTATAATTACATTTTACAATTTATTATAAAATAACTAATCAGCAGTGCAGAATAGAGATATCTGAAAAATAGACTATTAAAGACAAATCAGATGAGAAAACTATAGTACTATCAAGGGACTGCAGGCTGTCAAATAAATATTTACAAATATTATGGATAATATATGTCCATGATCAATCAGCATCCTCGTGGATGATTTCCCCCTGCATGTTCACAAGGGCCGCACAGATTCTGAGGATTTTGTCCATTTTGTGTGACAAGTTGATGGGTACAGTCTGGGAGATTATTTTGAACACCTTGAGCCTCCTGATAACTCTTTCCACATGAATGCGAACATTTGCAATCCTCCTTGTGGCAGTTACGTCCTCATCAGACAACTGCCCTCCTTTATGGGTGAATGCTGGTAGAACAAGGTTAACCCTTCTCTCAAACAGCAGATCTCTGATGGTAAAGCCTCTGTCTGCCATCACTTCATCACCGGGACGAAGATACTCCAGAAAGCCAGACTCCTGAGTGATGAACTTGTCACTACACCTGCCTCCATAAGCAGGAGAAATGAACATAACAAGCCCACACGGGGCAATAGCAACTAAATACTTTATAGTATTGCTGGAATAATAATGGCTGTAGGACTCGCCTCTGGAGTCAAGGTTGTGTGGTTTCTGCAGGTTGGTCTCACTGCAGTCAATGATGCAGGTGGTGTTGGGGAACTTCTCCCTGAAGCACTGAGGCATTGTGCTCCGGATTGTGTCCCGTGGCAGCCAAGGAATGAAGATTCTCATGTGCTCCTCCATTGTGTCTATCCAGTAGGAGAGGATCCGGCTCACTAACCCCTGGGACACAGCAAAGCGTTCTGCAAGATCACCCTGGAGTAGATTCAACTTTAGTTTCATCATGGTCATCAATATTTGATCCATTTCGTGCATCTTAAAGTTTGCTTTATAGAACTGTTCCAGATATTTTACATGATCAAAAAATGCATTGAGAGAAAGGCCTGTGTACAACACGCAGCTAGTGTCATTCTTCAGGATGGCATGGGCAAGGGGTACTTCTCCACCACATTGTGTTTCTCTGTCGCATACATCCTTCATCTTTCCTTCTAATGTGTAGGTGTGATCCATCAGTGCCTGCACCTCCCACTGAGTGTCAGCATCTTTATGCAGAGTTGCCTCTGACTGTGGAATGGTCTGGTCAGCCTCCTCATCACAGTGGCTGTCATCTGCCAAACATAAGACCACATTAGCTCAGTTTAGCAAACAACATAAAACATACCTAGAATACTTACAACTACCTTAACAGCAAGCTTATAGAGCAACACCTGTATTAGTGCTCATTCAAATAATCATATTGCATATATTGCCTCCAATTTTTACAAATGTCCTGGGCTAGCAGGGATGAGAAAAATACAAATATATCATTAACCTTTGTGCATCCTTATGGACATTTTTGTTCTTTTCAGTTGTTGTTTTTAATCACTAACAGCATAATATTGATGTCAATGCTAACAGCATAAAATTTGGCAGGTTCAACACATAGAGCCAATTGGGTAATAATATTGAAAGAGAGACTATTCAACTACTAACAAATACAATCACTGTGTGCACTAGTGGAATTTTGCTGGCACCCACTGGAGAACATCTGATCCTGCACCCAATCAAAATCTTACCAAAAGCTATTTTTTTTTAGATATATGGCTTTGATTTTCTAGCTGTTTTAGAGTTCAACTCGTTTCTTAAAATATATAATTTATATAAAATAATGTTCATATATAATTTTCATAAACTTAAACCTATGTACTTATTATTTATTACTTCAGCAATTATCTGCCACGTGTCTTCTTTCAAATGATACCAAACTTTAGTCTGTGTTCCCAAGCTTAAAAGTTTATGACAGTTTTTTGACACAGACATTTTTGTCCTCTATGTAACTTCTTATAATTGATGCACAATGGATAAATAAAAAGAGAGAACAAACTTAAAAGACAGTTGGCTTTATGTGAAAGAAATTAACTGTCAAGAGGGACACAAACTGAGAACTAACAAGAGTTTACATTACCTGTGTCTGCTAACCTCTGGACACGTCTCCTTGGTGTTTTTATTGGGACCTCGTAGCCCAGCCACTTTTCTGGAATCGGGTGGTCTTCTGTGGGTCTTTTGTCCACGAAATGAAAAGAACAAACATACGGTCGCTTCGGTGGTTTCTTCAAATTTAAAGCCTTTAACCACAGGCGAAGGGATTCCTCATTCTTCGGTGGGGGGGTGAAGGTCGTAGGGCGCCTCGTATCCACATTCAGCTCTCGTATGCGATCGATGATCAAAACACTTTAAATTTCGTGACTATATCACGAACTGCCGTGAGACTGGGTTGGGGAAGATGCTGAGCTCTGAAGAAATCCGGAGACAATTCAGCTGCCCTCCACTGGTCAAACTGCAAAGACTGACCAAACAAATTCAGATGCAAAAAATATCCATATGAGCCCTGAACTGCAAGTTGTACAAATTTCTTTCCGCTGTATGTAATAGTCTAGTTTACGACAACTTTGGTATTCAAAAAAGTCACCAGTTCTTCCTCATAATCTCCAAACTCATCCAAACTCGTCGCAGAATAAACCAGAAAACGTTACAAAAAAAATAAAAAAATGAATGGGCATACTACACCCGTCGCCATCTTTGCATGTGACCTCATATCAGCCCACCTACAAAATGCAAACCAACTGTGTGTGCAGTCTGCTTGCGTGAGCAGTCAATTGCTATCTGGGACTTAAGTCGAGAAGGCCCTTTCTGTTTTCTTGCATTTCAGACACAAATTAACATCCCCTCGAATTGTGTCTGAAATAAAAGAAAACAGTAAGAGATTACACGGTTACTGACTTGACAGTGAAATTAAAATTGGTTAGGGATACATCATAGCAAGCAGTTACACTGTTAAAAGTCTAACCATCTGGTGACAATAAATATGTGCCTGGAGCTTCCTCAACAGGTTTCGTCGTTCTTTTCATCTCTGCAGAATCTCTAATAAAGTTTAACATTAGTCATGTGATTTCATAAATAAAACAAAATCAAGAAAAATCACACTGTACTTACCAGTCTGTGGATATGTGAGATTTCCTTCATCGACCTCACTCTGTGCACTTGAATCAGTCAAAAAAGAAAATAAATTATATAACCTTGATGAATAATGAGATTCAAGTGCTATAGATTGCCTACATACAATGTGAACACACATGAAAACACATTTGTTAGAAACAGTTCTAATTTTTAATGTAAACAACTTTAAATGGCATTACCTTCAATTTCAATCTCCTCAAGCGTTTTGCCTTGAAGGCTTCTGAGAGACCCTTTCTCCATGGCAAGCAGTAGTTTGGAGATTTTGGCCAGCTGGGTAGTAGCCTCTGGCAGTCGGTAATACTCTCGGTGAACGCGAATATCATGGCCAAGGAAGTTAGCAACCTGGTCCAACTCATGATTCTTGAGGTTTAAGATCTGTGACAAAGTTGCGACATGTTTCCGTAATAGCGTCGACCTGAGGAGCTCAGGTTTTTCAGCCCCACATTCACCCGCATAGAGCCTCAAACAGTCCTGTCCTCTGTAGGGAGTCAGACAATGAGGTCTAGCAAACAGGAACAGGTTTTCTGCCAGAACACCACAGTCTTTTCTTTTATCTATTAGGCGTGTTATGGCCTTCACCATGTCTGGTGAAAGTAACACCGCAACTTTCCGGCCTCTTTACCCCTTAATTCAACACGACTGAAGTGTTGACAAAGGTGAAGTTCAAATTGTGTCAGTCCAAAAGCGACATCCTTGTTCAGGGCACTTGTGTCTCTCTCTAGAAAGCCATTCAGCGTCATCTTTGAAATTTCTCCCCCTCTTCTCCTGTTAAAAAGTATTACATTTGCCATGGTGGCTTTACAAAGTTCACTATATGATTTTGGTGAACTGTGGTCTTCCAAGTCCTTCAATGCTTGTTCTGTTATCTTTTCCAGATGAAGACACTGAACGTCTTCCGTAAAAGGAAGAGTAGAAGGCTTGTTGAAGTGACGCTCATTCAGCGTAGTTAAAGCGGTGTGGGAGATGAGTTCAGACCACTTTGCAGCATAGAGGGTTTTGAAACTCTGGGTTGACTTTATCAGGTTACTGTCTTGCGCCATCAGTGCTCTGCAATGTAAAATGTCACTGACTTTCTGCAGTGAGTGACCCAACTTTAATGCAAGGCTTGGAGTACGGTAACAGTGCTTTTCATCATCGTACCCAGACACTTTCTTGACAGCTTTGATCACCACATCAAAATGAGCAGGTCTCACAGCATCCTCAAGGGTATGTATTGAGAACTCCTTGCGAAGTATAAGCAGAAGTCTTCCACTTTCTCTGAGCGTCTGGCGAATATAGTCGTATTTGGTGGGATCCTGACCATGTTTGTTAAAAAATGAGTGGGCCAGCTGAAGAATAGAATAGTCACTTCGCACAGTAGCAGTTATCTCATCATCTTTCATGACAGCTAACATCTTCCAAACACCTGGGGATATTTGCTGACACAGAGCTGACTCATTCATAGAGGACCAAGACAAGACCTTTTTTCTTCCAATCTCTGAATTGGCTTCTACTGGTTTTGAAGAACATTTTTTAACATGTCGCCACTGTCACGGTGCGGGTTCAGGCAGAAGGACAGGCTGAGTCCAGAATCACGAAGAACATTGAATTTATTAAATAAATACAGGCAGGAAGACGGGATTCACCACGTAACATTGAACATTGACCGACAAACACAGGCTGACAGAGGGAGAACTAAATACAAGCAAGAATCAAACTAAACGAGGTGCAAACAGGTGAGAATGATGAAGACAGGACGAGGAACAGGTGGCTGATTGGGGAGTGAGTCCGGGCGAGGAACAAAAGGATCCGGGGAAGTGTGGTGCAGATGACGGGACAAAAAAGGTGAGGACGACAGACTGTGACAGCCACAGATCTCTTCGGAGATATAATGCCTGGCAGTACATGCAGTGAATATAGTCTTTTGCATTGTATTTTGTCTTTGCTGTGTGTAGTGATGGCAAAATGAGGCTTCCTGAACCACTGAGACCTCGCAGTCCATTGCTTCACCCAAAGGTTCATTACTCGAAGCTTCATTCAGTATTGCTCACTAGTGACACCTAGCTACAGTGCAAAGAAATAGCAGACAAATTATTTAATTCTGAAGCAATGACCTGAGCAGACTTATGATGTCCGTATACACCCCCCCCCCCCCTTTTTTTTTTTAAAGAGAAAATGTATTTATTCTCACTGTTTATGTCTGTAACCTTTCATTTGCAATAATAAAAATACCTGAGCAGACATTTGTCCGTTGCCTGGGAATAAAATAAAATGTGTATATTTCTCTGTCTGAATTTACTTCTGCAGAGACAACTGTATCACACACACACACACACACACACACAATTAATTATTCATAAATGGTTTGGATAGTGACAGTATGAACAATAAAGGTTACACTGTTTAGTGCAGTGCTTATGGTGGAGGGAGTGTAATAAAGTAAAGGGCAACAGAAAAGTGTGGGGTGGTAAAATTGTTTCCGGTGATTTAGTGCATTGAACTGTTCATATTTTTGTGCAGTGTTGTGCTTATGGAACTGGGGACGTAGAGGAGCGAAGGAAGGATTAAAAATTATTTTTATTGAGGAACAGAATTTTTTCAAGTGTGCTGGGGCTTAGGCGATTCCTCTTTTTCGACAGAACCTCTCCAGCCTTGGAAAAGATCCTTTCACATGGAACAGAGGATGCAGGTGAACATAAAAATGTCAGGGCCAGCTGGTATAAATGAGGATACTGGTGTTTATGTTGAGCCCAATATATCAGTGGATCCTCAGATCTTGTCACATTAACCTCAGATAAATATCTGTCCACTTCTGCAGTAGCATCTGCTGTTGCACTTGAGCTCCTTCTACCGTGTTCAACCGTGCTATCCAGCAGATGCCAAAGGTCACCTAACAATAGAGGTACAATGAAATAAAAGTCCATTAACAATGCTTCACAGTACTAATCACTAATGTGAACATTCACACAACAATTACATATAGTACTTACTGTTGTCTGTGGATTGGCCTGCTTGTGACGAGGCTGGGGGTGTATTGGTGGAAGCAGATTGGATACCAGAACTTCTGATTACTGTAGCGCATTCTGATTTTAATCTTGATTATGCCTTCTTGCAGTTTTCCTTGACTTAAAAATCCCAGTTTTTTGAATCTGGGATCCAATAATGTGGGTATGGTCATAACACTGATTGATTCTAATTGTACTGCTTGTTCCCTGACCCTCCGTACAAGGCTGTCACCCAGCTGCCTTGTTAGAATCGACTTCAGGCCTTCTAGCTTACTCGTTACCGAATGGTTCAGCATCTTCATCAAAGGAATCACTTTTGAGGCAGACACCCTTTTCTCTCCCGAAAGCTCTACTGTAGCCTGGAGGAAAGGGGCAAGAACATGTAGAGCATCCTGGATTGCCTCGTACTCCAGAGCTGTAGGAGGGATGATGTCGGTCTTTAGAGAGGCCAGCGCTGCACCCACTGGCTCTCTCAGCTGATACAGACGTTCCAGCATGTTGTAAGTGCTGTTCCAGCGAGTGTCCACTTCAATTATCATTTTCAGAGCTGGTCTCCCCATCTGCTCCTGTACTTGGGCCAGTCTCTCTTTTGCTGTAGTGCTTGTTCTGAAATAGGTCACAAGTTTCCTACATTTGGTTCGAATGTCATTGAAGCTACTGTTGTCATCAAAAGATTTCCTCACAATTAGGTTTAGTGCATGTGCAATGCATACCGCATGCCTAACATTTAGTGATCGTACACATGCTATCATGTTGGCTGCAGCATCAGTTACCAGGCACTTAACTTTCTCCTTTATGCCCCACTCCTCCATGAGCTTGACATGTCCAGTAGCCAAGTTCTCAGCAGTATGGCTCTTCGGGAAATGCTGCACACCTAGTAAAATAGTGCAGAGCTTGTCATTGTCTATAAAATGGCAAGTTACTGCTAGGTAGGCATCCATGTGTAGCGATGTCCACATGTCTGAGGTAAGGCTTATAGCCTGAACATTCTGCAGCTGCTCTCTGGCCTTCTCCTTAGCCTCCTTGTACTTAAGATCAACCATGACCTTCAAAGCCTGTGGATAGACATAAATGCAGTTACTCTTACTTTTACCTTCTTAAATAATGATGAACCACTTTATTAATCACATACCTTTCTAGTTGGGATCACATAAGTGGGATCCAACACATGCAGAAGCTCCCTAAATCCATCATCATCCACAATGGAAAAGGGCTGGGAGTCCTTGATGACCATGTTCACCAGGGCCTCATTCACCATTTCTTTCTTTGAATCTGTAATCAAATAAAATGCAGGTGTATTATAGGAGCGTAAAACATTATTAAAATAATGTTTATTATTATTATTCGTATTTTTAATTACTTTGACTACTGTGTGGATTGTTAGTAGTCTGTGCATGCTCATGCAGTGCTCGATAATGCCTGAGCATGGAGGAGGTGTTATTGCTGTAAGTCAGCTCCTTCAGGCACAGCAAGCATTTCACCTAGAAACATAAATGAATAGACGTGAAATATAATACATATAGTGAATATTATTATTATTATATCAAGACAGTGAAATCATAATAATAATAATACATATACCTTATTGTGAGCAACCATTTCAAAAAACTCCCAGACAGGGGAGGATTTCCTCTTTCTTGCTGGCTCCATTACAAGGAAAAAGGAAGAATCACAAAAAGCAAACAAATCCAAAAGGGCAATCCAAATCAAAAACCAGTCCAGTCCAAATCCAAAAATCCAAAGCAATCCAAACAATCTTATCTAAATAATATAACTATACTATAATATAATATAACTACTATAAATAATAATAACAATATACTATCACTAATCTAACCTGACATACAGCCCTAACACATATATGACAAACTAACGATGATGACACAACTATCTAACTCTAACTGTAACTCTAACTGTAACTCTGACTCTCTGACTCTACTACAACTGATTCTACTACTCCAAACAACACCCACAAGGTGGCGCGAGTTTCGAACCCCCTTTATCCGGAAACGACACTCAGACTGAACCGATGACGTATCCACACAAACCAAGGCCTCGTTTGTCATCAGTCACGTGATTTCCCCGTTAACAACACAAGCCTCGAATCGCGGCTTCATCTGGCACGCCCCTTTTTTCTCGACACAAGCTCCGATGCCTCGGTTCATATGTCACATCACTAGCTGTGTGTCTTACTTTTAGGGATCCAACTCCACTTGATAAGACCTCTGAGTTATGGGTGTGGTTTCCCTTGTTGCGTAGCTTTATAAGCATTTTCTGGCGCTGTTTGGACTTCTTGGGAAGACTTAAAACTTGAGCAACATCTGCATGCATTTTCTCATGACGTTTTAGGTGACGTGTAAACTTTATCTGTAGTTTTCCACAAATGTAGCAGTAAGCTTTATTTTTGAGAGAGGAGGATGTGTTTGAGACATGTTCAGCCCCAGCATCAGCGCTATCAACATTTATGCCTTCAGCATTTCCTACTTTGGCAGTAACTTCTGATACTTCAATCTGACTTGTGCTGATTGCATCTTCAGATAAGGATTCTGCAGCTTCAAAAACGGACCGTCTCTCTACAAAACTTTCTTGATGTCTTTTCTTTTTTGAAGCAGACTTGTTGGTGGACACCTCAAAATTCTGTAATTCTAAATGTCTGCGTTAGAGGCTCTGCTATGCTGTCCCATGAGCTGTTTGAATCAGCTGTGGAATCAGGCACATATTCCTCTTCTGATGATGCCACCTCACTTGAACTTTTTTCTTCACAGACCTGATAATGATTAAAAAATACATTTATATTATGTGCACTGGAAAGCATTTCACTGAGAATAATTCTACTAAAACACTTACCACTGGCAGAGGTTCAGTGATGTTCACATTGTGCTTAACATAACACTTTTTGTGCCAGGACTTGTAGCAAACTAGACAGAGAAAATTAAGAATTAATAAAGGAAGATAGTGAATAACGTCATGGTAAGTAAAAGTGCGTGCAGATGCCTGCAAATGGCTCATCTTGAACATAGCAGTTACACATGGAACCGTTTTTAAAGGGCACCTATTATGCCCCTTTTTACAAGATGTAATATTGGTCTCAGGTGTCCCCAGAATGTATTTGTGAAGTTTCAGCTCAAAATACCCAACAGTTAATTTATTATAACCATTTAAAAATGACATTTTGGGGCCTCTTTAAAAATGAGCTGTTTTGGAGGTATACCACCTTAAATGCAAATGAGCTGCATTTCCCCGCCCTGCCTTTGGATGAGGGCGTAACTTGATACCTATCGGCAGTCACTCTAAGCAGACGGGCTGAGAGACGCGCTGTTTTGAATGTCATTCAGCGTACGTTTGAATCGGAATATATTCACGTGTTATAGTTTAAGTCATCGTTTTACTGTTGTTGTTGTTTTGTTTTT